GTATGTTGTATCAAGAAAATATAAAACAGCAAGTGTGTTAATGCTATATAACGTATTGGAATTAACAATGAAATGTATATTTATATCTAATTGTGCTTATTGCCCTGGATTTCACAACTGTGGGAATTAAAGTAAACCTTTTAATAGATAGCCATTTGCCTGTCCCCCCTGTGCGCCCCCCCCCCCCCCGGGCCATCTTCTATCATATTCCAGAGAATAGCCTGGACATGAAGGACTGTCCTGCCTCAAAAGTACAAAAAGGAATACACTAATTTTTCCTTTCTGCTAGACATGTAGAATGTAGCAGCTGATAATCTCCAACCCACTCCTGTTCATGTGTGGGGGCATGTAAGGATTTGTAGCAAAAAAATAAATAAAATAAACCAAAACACTACAGTATGAAACTAGTGTTACACAAGAAGCAGGATCTTAGGGGACAGGAGTGATTTTCTGTGTGCTCATGTGCATTTGAGAGGTGAAAAATAACAGCCAAGATAAGGTAAATAGCATTGCATCTTTTAAAATTATACATTTACATCAAGTATTGAAAACATATGGTGTCTACATTCATAGCACACATTCACAGAATATCTTCCAGATTTATGAAGAAAATTTGTTCCTTGCAGAAAATGGAAATTACCCGTTCTTATTGCCTATTTCCCTGCCTTCATACAATAGAGGTGAACAAACATTTTACTTCTAGATGTATTTCTAGTTCAAATGAAACATTTCCTATGAGGCACAAGATAAAGGCACTCAAGCAACGTTATTTTAGTGAGTGGAGTACACCTAAACATGGAAAAATTAGGTAACTGTGTGTGTGTGTAGAGGGAGAGAACCATGATAATGTAAAAAAAAAGTTAGGCCTCAGTGCTTAGCAATGGCATTTGCTACATCAACAATACAAAAGCAACCTTGCCATGTGAGATTTAATTATCTACAATAATGAAACAACAATGAAATACATATTATAGAAAATTATTAAATTAATCATTTTAGGAACGATGATTTTTTTAAAAAAAATGTATGTAATCAAATCACAATGTCAACTTAAGGAGACCCCATGAACTTCATAAGGTGTTCTCAGGCAATGAATACTCAGAGGTGGTCTTGCCAGTTATTATTTAACTAGAAAAATAACTGCACCTGAAGGAGATCCAACGTGATTGAAACAATCAAAGTTTTAAACCTGCTGAAGCTTTGTCCCAATGATGTTTAGATAGTATGAAATATAGGGGATACATTTAAGTAAAATAGCTTAACAGAACTATGTAGCAGTACAGCCTATTCATGAGACTTTTATTTAGAGTATACACAAACATCTAACATCAACAGCTTCGAGACCAGTTGACATGAAAGAGATTTTTCACCCATATGGGGGTGCTCTGCTGTAAAGATCTATTTCAGAGACTCATTTGGGAGCAACCGGCTTTCAGTGGTATGGCACTTAACTACAATAGAAAAGAGTCTTCCCCACAGCAGTATGTGCTCTTGAAATGCCCTTCCTGGGGAGTGCCACTTGGGGCCCTGTTTATACGCAATTAGATCCAAGCTAAGACTTTCCAACAGACAATTAACCTTTAATTTGTATTTCTGTTATCAGCTCTATTGCTAACTTTGAACGACTTTATATGTTAACGGTCAATTAATTTTATCATTGTTTCGGTTATCATTTAATTGATTGCCTTTGTTTTCTGTGATTATAGACTACAGTTAGGCTCGGTATAGATTTAAGAGCAATAATGACATCATAATAATCACTTGTTCATGTATTCAAAAATCTGCATATCTACTGGCAGAAAAATACTGCATACAAGCAAAATGACTCAAATTCTGAAAACTGTCAGAAAGATTAGGTACAATCACTCTTACAGTGCTATTCATTCAGACATTAATAAAATGGTGATTTTGGCAAGTCCTAAACACCTGTATAAATGTTAAAATTATATTAACTGCTGCTTTACAAAATATACTGTCTTGCCAAGCTTTATTTGATAAAGGGAAAGAGTTGCTATAAATGAGTATCCCTTTGAAGATGATGAAACATTTGTTATGACATTACTTTTGACTCCAATTAAGTCAAGAAAGACTGCAGCCTGCATTCCAACCATTTAACACAAACTTGAGCCTAAGAAGTATCACTTAAAGCAGTCAGCTTAAGAACATGTAATAGCATCTGATCTTCTAATTTTGGTATGAATGAAACATCCTTATTTTGCATCAATGGGGATATTAATCATTTTAGTGAGAAAGGATTCAGAATGTTCTTTGTACATCCTTCCCAAACAACTCCCCTATATTTTATAACTTTAATTTTCAACTGAGATTTTAATTAGTAACTAAGTGTATATGTGCCTCTGCAGTTGTACTTTAAAGTTGCTGAAACTAGGCCAAACTGCCTTGAACAGGAAATCAGTTCTATGGTCAGAACCAGGAAGTTCACACAGTCACGAAATACAATCTGTACTTCTCATTCCAATGGCCAAATGAACTATTCTTATATACAATCTTTCCCAAGAATTTAGAGCAGGTAACAAAGAAACAAAAGGATTAAAATTTCTATTATAATTTTATTAGAATGTGACATTTTACCAAAGGTGACATTCAGACAAAGTCAAATGTTTTCCGTGCTATATTTCAGGGGAAAAATTTATTATTTTAAATAGAAACCTATCACACATCTTTTCAGCCATTCCACACATGTCAATTAAGGATCAGAGCTCTGGTTAAAGGGTACTCTGGCAAGACTTCAATCAGTTATTAGTGACTGTTTAGTATAATCTCCAAGGCATGAAAAAAAAAAATCATTCCTTCAAGGTTGGGCATGTATTATATTCAACCTTGAAAGTTTAGAGACGAAACATGTTGAAGTAATGCAATCATCCAAGATGCTACAAACACTATGAAAATAAAAAGATTTTTTTAAGGGATACTAACTTCCTTTATTAGTATACTTCAAACTGTTTTCCAGCTTTTTCAGCGTTTTCCTGAAGTCACTTTGAGCAAAAATGTTAAACCTTTAATCATGGACAGTCATCCCTATGCTAATGCCATTGTCACAAATTACTGTTTTCCTGTTTTGCAAAGCCATTAAAACATCTTATGTCACACTGACAAAGCCTTCAAATCTTAAACACCATATACAAAGCATAAGCAGCATTTTAACACTCAAAAGCACAACCATTCATCCTTAAACTAAATTTGCTGGAAGAATACACCACAAAATATAGTCTTACACATGAAAAGCAAGAAAATGTTTTTCTTTAATATAGACAGAGGTGTCAAGCTAACAACGTCAGAAAATTTAGGCATAACTGGCTGATCAAATCTGGTTCAATAGAGCACCTGTAGGTGGTACCCTCTCATATCTAAGCTTTCTTCTCATTTTTGTGTCCAGACCACCACTAGGGAACTTTATTAATATGGGATGTTCAAATTCAGTTCCAAAAAAGTCTGTCACAGTAAAAGACAATCATCTCGAAGAAGAGCATCAATGTATATATTATGTCTCAGAATTAAAAGAATGGCCTTACTTTAGAGATATTAAATGTGTTTCCAGTGGAAAAATGTAGAAAAAGATGAAAGGGAAGGAAAATCAGCAAAACGCAAACTACTTTCAAAGAATTGTCCATTGTTATATCACCTACGTAAAATCTAAAATGTTAAAAAGTTGAAATATCAAAAATAATGAAAAGTTAAGAAACAAAACAAAAATAAGAAATAAATTCCAACAAAGTAAAGGAGAAATCTGGTTCTTCCTTTTTGATCTATCTAGCTGCAAGGAGGTGGACTTTAGTCCATGAAAGGTTTATGTTATAGCACAGGCAAGGGCAAACTTTGGCCCTCCAGTTGTTTTGGATTTCAACCCCACAATTCCTAACAGCCTACCAGCTGTTAGGAATTGTGGGAGTTGAAGTCCAAAACACCTGGAGGGCCAAAGTTTACTCATGCTTGTAATATAATATGTCCATCTATAACATCCAAAAAACTCTTTGTCTTTTGCTACAAAACGAATTAACAGGACCACATATTTTGAAACCAGGTTGTTCTCACTATACAGAATCTGTTAAGAATTGTGGGAGTTCAAATCCAAAACACCTGGAGGGCCGAAGTTTGCCCATGCTTGTAATATAGCATGAAAACCTACAACAGCCAAAAAAATCTTTTGTCTTTTGCTGCAAAACGAATAAACAGGACCACATATTTTGAAACCAGGTTGTTCTCATTGTACAGAATCTGTTAAGAATTGTGGGAGTTCAAGTCCAAAACATCTGGAGGGCCGAAGTTTGCCCATGCTTGTAATATAGCATGAAAACCTACAACAGCCAAAGAATTTTTGTCTTTTGCTGCAAAACGAATAAACAGGACCACTTATTTTGAATCAAGTTATTCTCACTGTTGAGAATGTTAGGAATTGTGGGACTTGAAATCCAAAACACTTGGACAGCCAAAGTCTGCCCATGTTTGTAATATAACATGTCAACCTACAACAACTGCTTTGAGTCCTCCTCAGGGTGAGAAAAGCGGTATATAAATGCTGTAAATAATAAATAATAACAGCCAAAAAACTCCTTTGTCTTTTGCTGCAAAACGAATAAACAGGGCCACTTATTTTGAATCAAGTTCATCTCACTGTTGAGAATCTGTTAGGAATTGTGGGAGTTCTAGTCAAAAACACTTGGAGGGCCGAAGTCTGCCCATGTTTGTAATATAACATGTCAATCTACAACAGCCAACGAATTGTCAACCTACAACAGCCAAAAAACTCTTTTGTCTTTTGCTGCAAAACGAATAAACAGGGCCACTTATTTTGAAACAAGTTCTTCTCACTGTTGAGAATCTGTTAGGAATTGTGGGAGTTGAAATCCAAAACACCTGGAGGGCCGAAGTCTGCCCATGCTTGTAATATAACATGTCAACGAATGAACAGAACCAAACACATATCTTGAAACCAAATTGTTCTCACTGTACAGAATATCTGAAAATAAAGGCAAACTTACCATATCTGATGGAACACTTCCAGACATCTTGATATTCCCTTTGATTTCACACACACACACAAAAACTTTTTAAAGATTCTGTTTGTTTTTCTAAAAGCCAGCCAAAAAAAGAAAGGTCTTTCGGATTAATCTTTTGGTTCAGTTCTGAGATTTTTGTTTCCACCCCAAAACAAAAGCAACCACAGCTGTGGATGAGGGAGAGCAAAATCCAATGAGAGGAAACGCCAGGGAGACGGGCTGAAGACCCTCGTCGGCTCCCACACCTTGATGCCAGGTAGAGCAGCCAGGAACAGAGCAGGACATGAAGGATGTGCGGCTTTTCCCTCCTCCCGCTTCCTCCCCAGCCTTGACCAATAATGAATGATTGGAGGTGATTCAGAGGATAGTTAGTTCTGCGTCCGAGTCACCCCCTCATTAAAAAGGAAAGGCGAGCAACTCCAGCAGACCTCCTCCTCCTTCTTCTTCTTCCCTTTGAAGCCGAAGTTGTTCTTGTTTTGGGCGAGGGGAGGCTTTGTTGTTATTATTTTGGTCCTGGTTTTGTAACACTTGGCCCAAGGAGAGAGGGGAAGAAGGGCCTACTACGGAAAGCAGGAGCAGCAACACCTTCCCCCCTCAAACTGCAGCAGCCGCAGCTCAAGGGGGGATTTAAACCGCAGAGGGATCGAGAGGCGGAGACAGGCCAGGCCCAGCCGCTCCGTTTCCTCAGGTCTCTCTCCTCATCGCTGCGGCGGCGGCGGCTCCTTTCCCCTCAGGCTCGGCTTCCCTTTAACAGTCGAGGAGGCGCCTTGTTGTTTCCCCTCAGAGGAGAAGAAGGACTCCCCCTTCAGCACAAGCCGCTCCCACGGCTCCTGCCGCCTCTCTCGCCGCTACGACTCCCGCAGCCGCCGCTTGTCATCTTCCTTTCAAGCCAACATGGCGGCTGAGAAAAGGGGACACGGCGGGGGAAAGAAGACGGACCCGACTGGCCCCCTCCCCCACTCGGCTCCGGCTCCGCCCCCTCAGCCCTTCCGCGCATGCGCCCCCGCTCGAGGTTCCTCCTACTCCCCCCTCTCCTATTGCGCCTGCGTCTAATTACTCCCCGCTTCTCCTTTTCACGCATGCGCAAGGGGTTGCATTGCCTGCTTCTCCCCTTCAAAAGGAAAATAAATAAATAACTAGAGACGTGACGTCAGCGTTCTGCTGGCAGCTGCTGGTGTGGTGGTGGCAGCCCGCTCTGTTGCTAAGCGACGGGAAATTCCCTGCTGCTGGAAAGACAACACTGAGCTCTGAGACAAGAAAAGGGAGAGTGTGGCAGGTTTCTGTCCAAGGGCTTTCACTATAGAAGCACAAACACAAAACAATCTATGCGTAATGTCAAAGTGTATTATCAAAAAAGCATATAATATTCCATTTACCAAAATCCCCAGCACATAACTCAATTCAGTGGTTGTTGTTGTTCATTCGTTCAGTCGTCTCCAACTCTTCGTGACCTCACGGACCAGCCCACGCCAGAGCTCCCTGTCGGCCGTCACCACCCCCAGCTCCTTCAAGGTCAGTCCAGTCACTTCAAGGATGCCATCCATCCATCTTGCCCTTGGTCGGCCCCTCTTCCTTTTGCCTTCCACTTTCCCCAGCATAATTGTCTTCTCTAGGCTTTGATGTCTCCTCATGATGTGGCCAAAGTACTTCAACTTTGTCTCTAGTATCCTTCCCTCCAATGAGCAGTCGGGCTTTATTTCCTGGAGGATGGACTGGTTGGATCTTCTCGCAGTCCAAGGCACTCTCAGAACTTTCCTCCAACACCACAGCTCAAAAGCATCGATCTTCCTTCGCTGAGCCTTCCCTAAGGTCCAGCTCTCACATCCGTAGGTGACTACAGGGAATACCATGGCTTTGTACACAGCAGAAATTGATCCAGTATGATGTCTCTACTCTTCACTATTTTATCGAGACTGGTCATTGCTCTCCTCCCAAGAAGTAAGCGTCTTCTGATTTCCTGGCCACAGTCTGCATCTGCAGTAATCTTGCGCCTAGAAATACAAAGTCTGTCACGGCTTCCACGTTTTCTCCCTCTATTTCCCAGTTGTCAATCATTCTTGTTGCCATAATCTTGGTTTTTTGATTTAGCTGCAACCCAGCTTTTGCGCTTTCTTCTTTCACCTTGATTAGAAGGCTCCTCAGCTCCTCCTGGCTTTCGGCCATCAGAGTGGTGTCATCTGCATATCTGAGGTTGTTAATGTTTCTTCCAGCAATTTTCACCCCAGCTTTGCATTCATCCAGCCCCGCACATCGCATGATGTGTTCTGCATACAAGTTAAAAAGGTTGGGTGAGAGTATGCAGCCTTGCCGTACGTCTTTCCCAATCTTGAACCAGTCTGTTGTTCCGTGGTCAGTTCTTACTGTTGCGACTTGGTCCTTGTACAGATTCCTCAGGAGAGAGACAAAACCTGTAACCGCTCTCAAACGTAACAGTTCTAGGTCTGGATAGGGATTCCACTGTATATAGGCTTCAGGGATACATTCAATGAGAAAAGTCATATAAACAAAGTAAGCATTGAGTCATGAGGCTATAAGTAAACTGAAGACAATAATGAGGATGAAGCGCCACTCTCAAAACAATCTTCATGGAAAAAATCCAACTCAAGTCCAGTGAAAAATGGAGCACTGCTTCTCAAAATAAGTCTTCAAAGGAAGGTCCCAATGGCATTCAACAGGGGTGCCCGGGTATTTTTGTACCCTGTTTTGGGGAAAGCAATCCCCTTCCTCAGGAGTTGATAAATTCAGCAACTCTAGACTCTTATATCATGCCAGGTAGCTTATACAAAAAGTGACTCTGCTTGAAGTAAATTCACACTGCGAGTCCCTATAGAAGCCGGCCCCATGTTTTCCAGGGTGCATCTGCACTCTAGAATTAATGTTCTGTATTGTCGAAGGCTTTCATGGACGGAATCACTGGGTGGTTGTAAGTTTTTCAGGCTGTATGGCCATGTTCCAGAAGCATTCTCTCCTGACATTTTGCCCACATCTATGGCACGCATCCTCAGAGGATGTGAGGTCTGTTGGAAACTAGGAAAGTGGGGTTTATGTATCTGAGGAATGTCCAGGGTGGGAGAAAGAATCATAGAATCAAATAGCAACAGTTTAAAACAGTAAATAAAACATTAAGTTAAAAACACATTAAAAACATTGTCATCAACCATATAGCCAATTTCAGTCCAGTTCAACATCCAAGGTGCTGTCATGTTTGCTGTCCAAAAACCTGGTCTCAGAGACATGATTTAACCTCCTTCCTAAAAGAAAGGAGGGAAGAAACTGACCTGATCATGCTGGGGAGTGAGTTCCACAGGTGTGGAGCCACCACCGAGAAGGCCCTGTCCCTCATCCCTGCCAAGGGCACTTGCAAGGCTGGCGGGACTGAGAGCAGGGCCTTCCCAGACAATCTTAAGCTATGAGGTGGGACGTAGAGGGAGATAAATTCAGACAGGTAAGCTGGGCCGGAATCGTATAGGGCTTTATAGGCCAAGACCAGCACTTTGAATTGTGCTCAGAAGTGGAGGGGCAGCCAGTGGAGCTGACAAAACAGGGGAGGGCGTGTTCCTTGTTTGTCACTTCAGTTAATAACCTGGCTGCTGCCCATTGGACTAGTCAAAGTTTCCGAACAGTCTTCAAAGGCTACCCACGTAGAGCGCATTGCAGTAGTCTATTCGGGATGTAACCATAGCATGGGGAGAGTATCTGTCTGCACCAGGCCTGGGCAAACTTAGTTGCTTTAGACTTCAGCTCCCACAATTCCTAACAGCCTCAGGCCCCTTCCTTTCCCCCCTCAGCTGCTTAAGCAGAAAGGAAAGAAAGGAAGGGGCCTGAGGCTGTTAGGAATTGTGGGAGTTGAAGTCCAAAGCACCTGGAGGGCCCAAGTTTGCCCAGACCTGGTCTACACTGACCTAATCAAGTTTCAGGAAAAGCTTGTGAAGTTCATGGGATCGTCATGACGACTATTAGGCTACGTGGAAGGAGTGTGATTACTGACTCCATGGGATCGCAATAGCAGAACAGTTCTGTAGGTCTGGTTTGGTTTGAAAGTGTTCTGGCTTAACTGGTTTGAGGAGTATGGCCTATAAAAAGGGAGCAATCAATGACGGAGGGATGCAAACCGATAAGGAGGTTACTCAAGAGCAAGAACCAAAGACATGAAACAGCTCTCTTTCTTTTAGTTCCATTAGTTGATTAGATTAGGCGGTGAGAGCAAATCAGGGCCAGGCAAATATACTTGATGTGTTTACCTTCGGGAAAGCCCTTGAAGAGGGCTTAAAATCTGCAATCACCTCTGTTGATCTTAGCATCAAGGAAAGCCCTGGTATATAATTCTCCATCAGGGACAGACAACCATTTGCCTTCAGCCCTTCAACTGAGCCTCAGTTTCAGCTGTTATGTCTGCAGTCAACACTTCTTGAATATGAACACGGCATACTTATATTTCTTTTTGGTTGGTTGTTTATTCGTTCAGTCATTTCCGACTCTTCATAATAAAATAATAATAATAATAACAATAACAATCATCATCTTTATTTATACCATCATCATCTTTATTTATACCCTGCCACCATCTCTCCAAAGGGAACTCATGAGGCGAAGTCCAGCAATACATTACAGCAAAATAAAATATAGAACAAGAAATAACATCACAATAGAATAAATAAAACATCAAAGTAAAAGAAACAGTGCAAAATAACATAACAAAGAACCAAACACAGTGGGCGGGCTCTGGTTACATCCCGTATAGACTACTGCAACGCTCTCTACGTAGGGTGGCCTTTGAAGACTGCTCGGAAGCTTCAAATGGTCCAACGCTCGGCAGCTAGGATACTAACAGGAGCGGCACTCAGGGAGCATACAACTCCTATGTTGCGCCAGCTCCACTGGCTACCAGTCTGCTACCAGGCACAATTCAAAGTGCTGGCATTGGCCTATAAAGCCCTAAAATGGTTCTGGCCCAACTTACCTGTCTGAACGCATCTCCTCCTATGAACCAGTTAGGACATTAAGATCATCTGGAGAGGCCCTGCTCTCGGTCCTGCCTGCATCATAGGTACATCTGGCGAGGACGAGAGACAGGGCCTTCTCAGTGGTGGCCCCTCAACTGTGGA